ATTTTGTATGCGTGCGTGAGGAAATGAATAGCAGTTTGTGTGCGTGTGTACGTTGTAATGAGTGGGTTTTTCATTCATTCATAAACTGTTTGTCACGTTATTTATTTACTTATCTGACCGCTTAGTAGACTATTTAATTATTGTCTCATTAACTTGTAAATGTTTGATGCGCTTATTGCGATGTATTGAAAAAAAAGATCCAAATAGTGTCCGTAGATAAATGGTTTTGCCACCATATTTTTTGATTGAACGACGAAATTTTTGTACGATTCATTAAAACTGAACCGTGATAAAAACATTAGAAGGTAAAACCATTCTCTCCAAGGTGTATTAAACAAGGTGGTGTTGGGGCGACAGCTGAGTTTTTCGCCGTGGAGGCCATTACGTCAAAATGATGTGTTTGTTGTAACTCATACCAATGACAGTATGGACATCAGCGTATAATTTGTTAGTGTAATTTTTTACTTATATACGGCCAACACCACCTTGTTAAATACGCCTTGATTCTCTCAATTCGTCGGCCATGATTTTTTTCTGACGTTTGCAAACATTTTAAAATCATATAAAATTGAAAATAAAAAAATGAAATTGTTCTCAATTGTTGTTGTTTGAGATTAAAAATGAGAATGTGTGTGTGAGTTTGAGTTCGAATTTTAAAATTATAATGTTGGCAAACGTCAGACTGCCTCTCAATGATTTTACCTTCTAATGTTTTTATCATGAACTGAACCGTGTTAGCATGAGTTTTTGTTTTATAAAGACATGTGCATTTATGTATGTATTTTGCTTCCATATAATGACTAAAGACAATTTATTTTTATATAGAAGAAAGCGCAACACCTTGTGTAAGAAAAAAAAGAATCTAAAAAAAATCAACGTTAATTCCTAGACACTTGAAACTTGCAAAAATACTCAAAAAAAATTCAATACTTCTGAGAAAAAGTTTGAGTTTCGAATGAAAATTTATTGAATTTATCTTTATCTGAATTTTTCGCCGTGGAGGACAATACGTCAACTGATGTGTTTGTTGTAATTCATACCAATGACGGTATGAATATCACGTATAAGTTGGTGGTGGCTAACACTACCTTATTAAATTCGCCTTGGGCGGTTCGCAGCTGACAACGACAATTGTGTATATAATAGTTGCTGTGGTCAAATTTCCTTAAGGCAGTACGCAGTTCTTAAGAAATTTAGTATGCTTTCTACTACGGTTTTCTAATTTTGTGAAAAAAGAGCACAAGGCAACCCAGGTTTGCAACAGAAATATATGCCCGTTCCATTATTTCTTGAGGAAAGAGTGAGGCAACAGGCTGTGAGGTATCAAAAATGTCAAAATGCCTTAGACACACACGCGAAATAATGGCAATTTTTTCTTGACCGTTTTCTTGAGAGCTGCATACAGGGCTTTATGTACCAAAAAATGCATCACTTAAAACTTTCTAGGGAAATGCAACTCTTCTCCTTGCAACAGCTATTTTTCTAAAAGAGTTATTATTTTACTAGTAGAGAAGAGCAAAAATAATTTGGAGAACCTTTCTTTCGTAATTACCCTTTTTTGCGATTTTCTGAAATGTTTAAGGGCAACACTGTATATATTGGCCATTGGTTGATTGTGAACGGCACCTTTTGACAACTGACATTTGCCCAAAAAATAGGGATGTCAGTGGCAAGAATACATCGATGTTTTTCTTTGATTCGATGCATCGAAATGGACATCGATAGTTTTCGATGCATCGAAGGGCATACATCGATGTGTTGATTTATATAGGATTTTTTAGATAATAGCTCTGAGTACTCCAGTACTCCATGAACTTACAGGTTTTTAAACGAACTTGCAGGAAGTTACAGGATAAATGATCACGTACTCCGAAATCCTCCAAAATCATGTAAATGAGAGTGATTTTTGGAGAGCCGTGTAGAGAATGAAGTTGCATGATTTTACCCGAACTTTTTCTTCTGGTAAAATCGTGAAAAGTGTCAAGTGATCACTGGTTGACGTTTTTTCAGGAAAAATGCTTTTTTGTTACCGCACTTTTTGTGTTTACTAACTTTTTACTCTCACTTCAGAGAGTAATTTTGCTGTTTGACATTTTTACAGAATTTTACACGAAAAGTATTGGATCAGAGCTAATGTTTTTGGTCCTCCTCTTTTTTGTACAATTGAAAAATAGGAACAATGCTTCAATGTACTAGAGATGTCAGTGCATCGATACATCGACTATTTATACATCGAGTGGAAAATTTTCTATGCACTGAAGTAAAACATCGATATTTTCGATGCATCGATTTTTTTCGACATCCCTACGACAAAAACTTGTCATTTCATAGTGGTTTTTTGCGTGAAATTAGCATTGAAAAATAGTTGTGCGTCTATTTTATTGCATTTAAATAAATTTTTGCGACCAAGAATTTTCACAATGGGTGATGATTACGAGCCAATGGAGCCCAGCCTGCGCAATATCGTCGAGCAGACATCACTTAAATGGATCTTTGTAGGTGGAAAAGGAGGTGTGGGTAAGACGACATGCAGGTAATTAAGCAAGTAGCATAATTCAATTTTCTTTAATTATTATTTTTACTTCAATTTCCACCTAAATTACCATTGGAATTCTACTCACTACCTATAAACAGCTGCAGCCTTGCGGTGCAAATGTCCAAAGTTCGTGAGTCAGTGCTTATTATTTCCACAGATCCAGCGCACAACATATCGGATGCATTTGATCAAAAATTTACAAAAGTGCCAACAAAGGTAATTAAAAATTAGCCAGAATTAATGTTTAAAAAGCTCAGAGTAATATGTATTGCGATTTGCAGGTCAATGGCTTCACAAATTTGTATGCAATGGAAATTGATCCCAATGCTGGGCTTAACGAGTTGCCGGATGAATATTTTGAAAGCGAAAATGAAGGACTACATTTGAGCAAAGGTGTACTACATGAAGTGATCAATGCGCTGCCAGGCATAGATGAAGCAATGAGTTATGCAGAAGTAATGAAGTGAGTAAAAGCATAATTGTGGAAAAAGATTAAATTCGCTAGAGCCATCATCTGCTATTCCAATACTTTTTTCAGACTAGTAAAGGCAATGAACTTTTCGGTAGTCATATTTGACACAGCGCCGACAGGGCACACATTACGCCTGCTTTCCTTCCCGCAGGTCGTTGAGAAGGGTTTAGGAAAACTAATGAGGTTGAAAATGAAGATAGCGCCTTTCATTTCACAATTCGGTAGTATACTAGGCATGACAGACTTTAATGCCGACTCGCTAACGCAAAAGCTGGATGAAATGCTAAAAATCATAAGACAAGTGAACGAGCAGTTTAGAAATCCGGTAAGCATATAAAATTTGTGTAACATACAATGAGCAAAATTTTAGAATTAATTACCTACATAAATCGAAATTTTCGTTATAGGACCAGGCAACTTTCGTTTGTGTTTGTATCGCTGAATTCCTATCACTGTACGAAACAGAACGTCTTGTGCAGGAGTTGACCAAATGTGGCATAGATACTCACAATATCATAGTCAATCAACTGCTATTTAAGAAACAAAACCAGGAGCCATGCGCCATGTGCGCGTCACGGTACAAGGTATGCAATTTTCAATAAGCCTTTAATGTGAATTGGTTTTTCTATAACGCTAATATTTTAGATACAAGCAAAATACCTGGATCAAATTGCGGACCTTTATGAAGATTTCCACGTCACGAAATTACCACTGCTCGAGAAGGAAGTGCGTGGTGTTGAAAATATTAAAAATTTTGCTGAAAACTTAATAAAACCATATACTCCTAATTGATTTTAAGATAATCAAAAATATGTGTATATTAGCACTGTAGCAACGAAGTTTTGGTTTTAAACACATCTTACGTATAACTGCTAGTCGATTATACAAAATGTTTGCAAAAATCACTACTGTATTCCAAACCGTATACTTTGATATATCTCAATAATTAAATTGAAGTCATAGCTAAAAAAAAGTTAACTCAATTTGTAAGGTATGTATTTAAAATAAAGCTACATTCACTTTTACATTGTCCAACAGTTTTTTGTTCATATTTTTGGCATTGCGTCGCCTGGGTAAAATATTGTCGTAAGCGTCAAACGTACGTGCGTAACATACGACTATCTTTTACCCAGGCGACGATTGGTCTTTATTAATAGGATTGTAATTACTTTATTAATCGATATCGAATAAATAACCCGGTTACTCTACTCGAGCCCGGTTACTCTACTTTTGCACATCATCGGTGAGAATAAAAATAAAAATGACTTCTGTCTGTGGATCTCCTCTCTTTTATATAACAGGCAAATGACATTTGTGTAAATTCACCGGCGGTAGACGAACTTGCGAAATTATCGTGTTTTCAACCATAAATATAGCATTTTAATACACTCGTAACGAGACGTCGCACAGTCGGTCAAGATTAAATAAATTTCCACGCAACAATAATATCAGCTGCACAAAACAATGGCCGGCGAAGGAGCTAGTAACAAAAATGCAGATTGCACACTGTGTGACAAGATTGGGCTTAAACCCTTCACCAAGGAAAACGTTTTCCACTACTACATCCCACTGCATGGTGTGGTATCGTATTCTGCACTTGCTGTTAACGTAATGAATCCCGGTTTCGTATCCAAGATTTTACCCAAAAAGGATTTGACTAATGTGCTTTTACTAAGTTCATTGGCCGGCACCGCCTTCTATATATATGGACGTCCACATCTAAGCAAAATACCCAATTCGCGACGTGGTCTGTACGCGATTCTAGGAGGCTCACTCTTCAGCATGGGTTCAGTACTTGCATGGGCTTTGATGAGGTCGGTGCTACCAAGAGAAAACGCAGCTTTGGCTACCATTGCCGGTTTGGCTTCCGGAGCAGTTTTAGTAAAGCTTAGCGTTGACTACTTCACCGATTGTGACAAATTAGTAGACAAAAATTAAATACATTGATGTGTACCGTGATTTTGTTGGTGCTCCTCCATAGCCTCAAGGAATGAAATCTAATTTTAGTCGCCTTTCATCTTTTTTTTATGCAGCAATTAAAGTTCAATACTCTGGCCGGAATTTTCAAATGCAATTTCGTATATGAAATGCAGTGCCGCTCCCATTTACAGACAACAGGTTTTTCATGTGAGCGGTTAAGGCGGTGGTGTCGTAAAATCTTTTTTTAATAATCTCTGTATGCATATATAGGTTTTGAATCGAGTGGAAATAAAGTTAAAAGTAAAAATAGCTGCTGAAGTAATTGCAGGAACACATAAATGTGTATATTTATAAAATTTGCACTTGCATCATATAAAACATATGTATGTACATTGAAAAAAAAATATAAAATCTTGGTTGTAACACGATTTGCATTTTTATTTATTTAACAACATTTTTAAACTCAGAAGGAATTTCGAAATGCTATTAGGAAGCTGTTTGTTATCAGTCCGCATCGATTGGTAATCTACATACATATGCAAAGTTTTGCTGTAAGTACAGAATACGTAAAACAAATTTATATTAGGATCGATACGGGCTTAGTCCTGACCATAATGGTATAATTTTTTTAAGGCGAAAAAATAATTACTGGTGTTACATATTGAAGATCAAAGTACAAGTTTAACAATTTCTTTAAATTGTAAAAGCTAAAGAAGTAATTTTTAAGCATAAGACGAAACCGTCTTTAATTCTCATATAAAATTTAAAGAGTACCGTTAATTTCTTCACGATCCAATGATCGGATGTGAACCAAATTAGTATGGTCCAACATCTGAGGTACCACATTTCCCTTTAAAAAGAATTTTAGAAATCCGTTAACGTGGTCCAAAGTTATGCAGTAACATATAAAAAATAAATTCATATGAATTGATTTCTTCCTTTTTTTGAAATCGGTTAAAAAGTACTTTATTAATAAAACACTATAAACACACAAAATATACATCACTAAGAGCACATATTCACAATGGTATCTGACAAATAGCTGCGCCTTGTCTTTCACTGAACATACCCTTTCGCTGTCTGGCAGTAAGAGTGGGTAACTCAGCAAATTTATAGGAGTTGACTCAATGACTCCAACTCACTTTAAGGAGTCAGCTCATTCAACTAACTCATTTGACTCTTTGTATGTTACACTCATTCGTATCGTAGACTCGTTTTGAGGCATAGATGCGGTAAAGCGGCCGTTGAGATAAAACAAAACTTTAAAGTGGGCGTGGTCAGCTCCTTTCTACTGATTTGAAAGGTGTAATTTTTTTTGTGTGCAAATTAATAGGGCGGTGCTAGGGGGAGGGTAAAGGTGGAATTTTCAATATTTTCAAAAGCTTATATTTCGAAACCTATTGTACCGAATTTCAAAATGTGGATATGGTTGGAAAGGCAATTGATTTGATATGCACATCTTTATATATCTTACATACATACATATTTCGAGAAAAACTAAAAAAAAAACGAAATTATAAGAATTTGTGAGATTTGACATAACACCCGCAATACAAAATACATGTGGTTGTTGTTGTTGTATTCTTGCCACCACCTTGTATAAATTCGCCTCGTGCAAAAACAAAATGCAAGACTTTGCCATGCTAAACACTGTGGCGAAGCGAGAGAGTTATATGGACAAATATGAGCCACTATGATTCAATTGATTCATGTGAGCCCTACGGCATCAACTGAGTTACTGAGTTACTTTTTTTTTGGACAGGGAGTCTGAGTACCGATTCACTTATAGGAATCAACTCAATAACTCAACTCTCAGTTGAGTTACCCACCTCTATCTGGCAGACGACGGATTTTCATCTTGTGTAGGAGAGGTTTGTTTGCAATATTTTTTATTTGTCGGGTTTATGTAATTATTTTTTTCGCGACAAATATATTTGGTTATGCCGTGGAATATTTTGTGCATATTTTCAAATAAATATATTCGAAGTACTATCATCGAAGGACTTGTTAAAGATGGAAACATGTGACCAATTTGATTAACACCGACTTGCGAAAATGCTAGTCGGTATTGAAATTGGGACTTGGGGGAAATGTGCCTTGTTGATGGTGGTTGCGATTTTGTGGCGTTATGTTTGTAGATACATATGTACATGTACAGGGGCCAATGCATAGGGAAAAGTAAACAGCCAAGCGGTGCAAAAAGCCTCCTGCGAAGAAATTTTATTTAATTCTGTGACAAATCAAATTGACGTCTGGCGTCTACGCTTATCTTTTTTCCTCAAAGCCACTGGCCCCCTACAGTGCCTGGATAGCAGTTTTGGAGTCGAATTTTAATACGTGCAGATTACCATATCGTATTAAACGAGAGATATATTGCAGCAAATTACATATCATTTTTCTTCATTTATTGATTTTGCCCGGTGCAGTAAATGCTCATTGTAAAATATATTTGAAAAAATTGTGATTGTTAATCACTATTATCCATGTAAATGCAAACCGGATTACATTGCTTTGATAGTTAAAAGCGGTCAGTGAACTAAAAACCTACTAGAGTGTAATAAAACAAGAACACAAAAGCAGCAATGTACCATTGAGCAATAAACTGTGCGAATTGCTATAATTAACCAAAATCAGGTATCTGTGTTCAGCTTGTGGTATAAGGAAAGTTTTTGATAAAAAGACGAAAATCTTTACATGGTTTGAAGTTAATTACGTACATATCGCACACCTTTATCACTTCAGTTCTAGGTGTGCGATATGTAGCTATGTATGTATTTAGGTAGTTTTGCAAAATTTCTACGTTTTAGGTGACTTTTTTTTAGGTTTAACATGCAATCATCTTGCGCTTTTTGTTTTATTTCCAGTGAGCTTTGCTCTAGTTCAGCATAGATGAGCGGTCTACAAGGCGCTGTTTATATTTTGGGATTCGTATTCGCTATATTTATCGAAAATTGAGTAATCGTAAACACTATATCTACAACCCTAGTAAAATCAAAAATTGCTTTCAAAACCAGATCCTTTTCCTGCCATTGAATTTAAGGTATCAAAACTCCAAATATGGTTCAATACAGTGTTGCTCAGCGAAAAAATGTGCGCATATTGTTAGTTGGCGATCCGGGAGTGGGTAAAACCTCACTCATACTCTCGCTTGTGAGCGAAGAATTTCCCGAGGATGTTCCCCCAAAAGCTGAAGAGATAACAATACCCGCTAATGTAACACCCGAACAGGTGCCAACAAACATTGTCGACTACTCAAGTGAGTTATAAAACATATTTACGTATAAACTATTATTTATAAAATAATTTTTTTTTGTGTTTTGTACATACGTATTTTCATTTACCAGGCACAGAACAAACTGATGAAACACTGAACGAAGAGATTCTCAAGGCGCATGTTGTATGCATTGTATATAGCGTGGAAGATGACGATTCGCTAGATCGTATAACTTCGCATTGGCTGCCTTTGGTTCGTAATGCAATTGGGCCAGACCAGCAGCGTAAGCCCATTGTGTTGGTAGGCAACAAAGTCGATCTGATAGAATACTCAACCATTGATGTGAGTTTCTTTATCATGCAATAAAAAATGAAAGCAATACAATGTTTAAATTAAATTTTTAGAGTGTATTGACAATAATGGAAGACTTTCCAGAAGTAGAGAGCTGTGTAGAATGCTCCGCCAAAACGCTACACAACATTTCCGAAATGTTCTACTATGCACAAAAGGCTGTTTTACATCCGACATCGCCGCTGTACATAATGGAGGAGCAAGATGTAAGTACAACTTCGGATTAAGGACTAGAAGGCATGTACTAATAATGATAATAAATCCAAATTTGTTCTATTGCAGCTCACTCCAGCATGCAAAAAATCACTTGTTCGCATATTCAAGATTTGCGACATCGATGGTGATAATTTGCTGAACGACTACGAATTGAATCTTTTTCAACGTCGCTGTTTCAACACTCCCCTACAACCACAAATACTGGACGAAGTGAAAGCTGTTATACAGAAGAATATTCCAGACGGTATCATCCATGATGCTGTTACATTAAAGGGTTTTCTCTTCCTGCATTGCTTGTTTATACAGCGTGGACGCAATGAAACAACTTGGGCAGTGTTGCGCCGTTTCGGCTACAACGAACAATTGGAAATGTGTAAGGATTATTTGCGTCCCACGTTGAAGATACCACCCGGCAGCAGCACAGAACTATCACATCGCGGCCAACAGTTCCTCATAGCCCTGTTCGAACGATACGACAAAGATGGCGATGGCGCACTATCCCCGGAGGAGCACAAAATGATTTTTAGCACTTGTCCATCGGCGCCCTGGTCTTATTCGACAGATATACGTAAGTCGTGCCCGACCAACGATCAAGGTTGGGTTACGCTACACGGCTGGCTATGTCGCTGGACGCTAATGGCGCTTATCGATGTTTCAAAAACATTGGAGTACTTAGCATATTTGGGTTTCAATGTACACGAGAACGATAGTCAATTGGCGGCGATACATGTGACCCGCGAACGACGCATTGACTTGGCAAAACGACAGAGTAGTCGTTCGGTTTACATGTGTCATGTAATTGGACCGAAAGGCGCGGGTAAAACTGGCTTGTGCCGTGGATTTCTGGTGGATGACATGAAGAGTCTGATTGGGAAGGAATTCAAAACTAATGTAGTGCATTGCGTTAACACAGTGCAGGTAAACTGTATTCTTATAATATTGTACTCTGGGCAAACCTACAATACAATGAAATTTCTTTGCAGGTTTATGGTCAAGAGAAGCATCTTATTTTGCGTGATATCGATGTCAAGCACGCCTTAGACCCACTGCAACCACAAGAGGTGAACTGTGATGTTGCCTGTCTTGTTTACGATTCATCAAATCCGCGTTCATTCGAATACATTGCACGCATTTACATCAAATATTATGCAGAGAGTAAAATACCAGTGATGATTGTAGGCACCAAAGGTGATTTAGATGAACGGCGACAAGATTATTTGCTACAACCAGCAGAGTTTTGTACTAAATACAAACTATTGCCACCACACCTGTTCAGCTTGAAGAGCAATAAAAAGGAGGTCTACACCAAATTGGCAACCATGGCGGCTTTTCCGTGAGTAGCGAATAGAAAATAGATAAGAAATAGATATTAATACATTTACCATAACACATATAGTAAATATGCCCAACATTTTACACACATGCAAACGAATTGGGTAAAGGCGAATTTCTTATCGATACATTTGGTACATATTTGTGATATAGCAAATGTGTTAGGTTGGTTATGCCTATATCCGTGGTCATAAGCAATAACCGGCTAAGTCGAAAAACTTGAATTCGAAAAAAAAACGTTTTGATTATAATATTATCTTTATAGAGAATAGTAGTTGTAGAATACGATAGCATATATAACTGAATTATT